TAGTATCATTATAAAAAATTTTTTGTACATTTACACTAAACAAAGATTATTAATTAGTGTTCACATGATGATTTAAAATAGTATGTTTTTTTTTGTTTTATTGCATAAAGTTTAAAGAACGGGTAATTATTATTCTACAAATATAAATGAAAGATATGAAGGAAAACCGAAATAATAATACATTTAAATTTCGGTTTTTAAAGACATGGTGAAATATAACTGTACGTTCATATAACAAGAAAAAAAAATTATTGTTGTATGTGAAATTAAGAGAAAACGATTTAAAACATTTATCTCAGTATCTAAATATAAAATGATAAATTATTATAACTATATTGGCTTTCATTATCTAATTATTAGTAGCTGAGATGAAATATCTCTTAGTAACAAATTTTGATATCAAATTTAGATATTTCAATAATTATATGTGAGTTGCAATTAATTATTTGCTGTTATTACCATTTTCAAAAAAATTGATTTAAAAAGTCAGAGATAAGAAATTAGTTAGAAGATAACAAACAATTTGTTTTCTTTATAAATTATATAAAAAATTTATAAATATAATTTTAATGGGGTACTTGTGAAATAATTTTTGCGTTTTTGTGTATAGCACTTTATGCCTCAAAAAGGTATTTATAATAACAAAATTTTGCAAATAATGGTTATACAAAGATGATGGTAATACAATATGTACTTAACTATAGTTTTTTACATGTGGTACTTGGCAGTATATTATATCAAGTTATTTTATTGTATATGAATATACTAAGATCATGATAAACCTTGATAAAATATATTATAGATTCATTATATGCGCCAGTTATTACTTTGGATTTTTACAGTTCTTTAGGTAATTTTTATAAAGTACTTTAAAAATAGACATATCTTGATACACATGGTTCCACTATGCATATGAAATCACATGTGCCCTATTTTTAAAAAAGAAATCATTTAATGAAATAATACTCACACACAACATAAAAATATATAAGTTTTAAATTCGTATAATATCAACAACTTTGTGTATTAGTTTCAATTAATCATTAAAACGATGAAAATATTTCATAAAGTGAAAAATATGTAAATACATTCCTTTTATGAGCAATGTTATATATTGCATAAATAACTATTTTTGGCTTTGTACATAATTTATTTTTAGGAGTAATTTGTACTAGATTTCAATTTATAATTTTTAATTGAAATATATTTGCATAAATACAATGGTTGGTAGTAAATTATTTAAAATAATATTTGATATAATAATTTTTTATCAATATATATATGTAAAAATTAATGATATTTAATATGAATATAATTTCTATATACATTGATAGCTATTAATGTTATATATAGCATTATTCAAATTTAAAACTATTGCTTTAATTAGTATGATATAATTGAATGCAATTACAAGTAACCCATAATTATGTTCAAACAAATATAAAATTACAATATATAAATAAATTAATTTCGTATTATGAATGATTTATAATTGAAATATAGTACATATTTGTCAGTTTATTTTGACCAAAGTTAAACCATAAGTGAAATAATGAAGAAATAAATTTTATTTCTCTCCTTTATGAATATAAAAATGAATATAATTGAAAATTGTTCAATAAATGTTGAATACCTCGGTAAAAATCATAAGTATATGCAAAGAATACTGTATCTGTATAAATAGAAAATATTTAACATAAAATTTACATTCTAGATTCATACAGTGGTTGTGATTAATTATATAACTGTGAAAGAATAGTTACCAAATGCTATACATGGGAAAGAAATTTTGTATTCTAGAGTTCAAGTAATAAGATTCTGCCTATTGATTATTTATATTGGTCATATAAATAATATTTTTTTTATTAAAATATAAAAGAATAATATGTTAGGAAAAAATGAATTTCTTTATTTACTTTCAATTATTTAGGAATAGAAATATTAAATAAATATTATAAGTTAAGATGGACTATAAGAATTTAATGATAATTCTTATAATCAAGCATATAATATAATAAATAATATAAAATCCTTAAAAAAATGTTATTAATAGAATTATGTTATTATTAGATTGGTAATTTGCATTTTATTATTTTTATATTAGTCAAAATATTCAAATATATAAATTATAAATAATAAATATAAAAAAATTATTTTTCATTTATGATGAAAATTATAATTAAGTTTGACGAAATTATAATTGAAATACTTAAAATTTGTTAGAATATAAAAATCAAAAGACTGAACTGTAGAAATGCTCATTGCATAGTATTTATTTTTTTGTGTATTATTTTTTATATTCAAATTAAATTAGGAAAATAATTTTCAATATTAAATAATCTTTTATAATGTAAATATCAAATTTTGAGATAAAATAATTTTATGTAATATTATGAAAATAATTATTTGTATGTTTAATTTTTTAATATATGCTTGATGTTTTAGAATGATATATTAAAATAATTAATTTGTAGAGAATATAATTATAAAGAATATAATTTATATTAAAGATATGTCATGCTAAAGAAATTCATTTTATTTTTATTAATGATAATTTTCAAAAAATTCAGATAA